AAGGAAGGAAGGAAGGAAGGAAGGAAGGAAGGAAGGAAGGAAGGAAGCCTCCCTTGCTGTGGCTAAGAGGATTTTAAGAAATCTCTAGCGCATGACTGATTCAATTATCTGAGTCAGCCACATAAGAATACAGCTTCTCAGAAAACATTATTGAAGAACAAGAAATATAATTAACATAGCAATTTGAGTTGCCTCTACCAGTCACAGATGTTCAGTATTCTGGGACTTGTACTGTATTTAGAATCATGTGTTTTATCATTTTTTGATGATGTACATTGCATATAATTGTACCTGTAAATAAGTACATATATTGATCCTATAGCTCTGTTCCAAATGCAGAGCAGCCCCAGTTATATTTCTGCTTGTAGCCCACTCCTACTCCGCTTCATTTTTTAAAATATTTTTGAGTTACATTAGAAAATGACTTAATGAGAATTCTGTTTAAAAAAAGAGAAGCAGAAAATGTGGCCGTACAAGGACAAAATGCAATTCATAAATTTGAAGAGACAGTTTAGGAAGATTTAGAAAGAGCCAGCATAGTTATATTCCACTTTGTGTCAGGGCTGCAGCTGTAGAGGAGTCAATAGTATTAAGTATCTGGGGGTGCAGATAACTAATAATCTGACTTGGTCTCTTCATACGTTATCCTTAGTGAAGCGTGCAAGCCTTTACTGTGTTGAATGAGGAGAGCACATCTTTCTCCTTCTGACTGATCACTTTTTACAGAGGCATGATTGAGAGCATTTTAGTAAACTGCCTCATGGTGGTAGCGGTGCCTCAGATAGAAAGTCCATACAAAGAGTGCTAAGGACAGCTGAGAAGATTATAGGAAGCCCAATTCCTGTTATTCAGGATACTGCTTATAAGCACTACATGCTTAGAGCTCAAAGTATTGTTAGAAACCCCACACATCCATTTCACAGTGTGTGAAGTGGTCCCCTCTGGGAGGAGGTTTAGTGGTCCTGCTATAGGTACCTACTAAATTCTGTAACAACTTTGTTCCTTATGCCATCCATCTTGTAAACTGACAGGATTCTTCCTCCGCCCCATGTATATTATACATTCAAACTAGACTGGGATGTTTCTCTGTGTCATATATGTATGCGTATGGGGATATATGCATAATGGTTATCTTTTGAGAGTTGAATGCAACAAATTTTCATTTTAATGTATGCTGATTAGTGTACATTTAAAGTGACAGTAAAATTTTACTCTAGTCTATTCTATTTCATGATTTTTAATCTTTTTCAGATTTTTTGTGATTTTTGTGATTACTGTGTTGTATAATTGCTCTTATTCTGAATAGACATAGTAGACCAGTGGTTGTACTCTCATTGAACTAATGCTTACTGGCCATATTGACTGGGGTTATTGGTAGTCAAAACTGAAAATTAGTTAGATGGCTGTAAGTTCTCCACCTTGATTTTGAGACGATTTCAACTCATTTTAAAAGAGGAGTATAAATGTTGATACATGTAACTTGTTTGTTTTTTTTCTTATTTGGTTACATATTTTAGTGCCACCCACTATCAATAAAAATAAAGAGGAACCTGAGGCCCTAACTGTGATATTAGACACTTCAATAAACATTGAATGTCAAGCAGTGGGCACTCCACCTGCCCAAATAAATTGGCTGAAGAATGGTCTTCCCCTCTCTACATCTTCCCACATCAGGTTACTTTCAGCTGGACAAGTACTCAGGTAAGGTTTCATTAATTTAGGCTATACCAAATGAAAATAGTTCACTGCTAATTATGATGGTTTCATAATTTCAAGAAGTAGGTCCTCCTCCCCTATATTGTTTTGGGAGGTAGGCACAACACATCTGGAACATACTATGAACATGTTTGTAAAGTATTCATTAGGAAGTCTTGCTCATTTACAAACTGCCCACTATCAATTGATCAGAAAGCTGGTTACTATGGTCTCTTTACTATCTGTCATTATCTTTGCCCTCTTTCTGAATGGGCAGATGGGGCTCCCAAACAAAATGTAGGATTGTACCAAGTCCTATTTGGGCGTTTTTTGAAGTCAAGATTATGTTGGAGCTGCCGCTTTGCTTTGTAGCATATGAGCTTCGAGTTTACTGCATTGAAAAAGCATTTTACAATGTAGAAAATCAGATGAGAATAGAGTCTGGAGGATGTCAAGGAAAGTATCCACAGGCACATTGCCTCCCTAAGCACCATATTGAGACTCCCAAGACTGCTTGATGTTGCCGTTAATTATCAATAAGTATTATAACTTCACTGCCGTTTTAGCATTTTGGAGAACAAGTGCCATTTTTTTCTAACAATTAGGGCTTGCTCTCTAAATTCATATATAGGGAGCTTTTATTTGCCTTCAGTCTCTATTCTTAGTCTTGTCTCTTTTTTCTTATGAGTGCCAAAATAAGTTGCAGAATTTGCTTGGAAATAAATCAATTAAAATTACATTAATTTAAAAAAGCTGGGGGAGGGGGGTTGTGCCTGTGTCAAATGACCCCATTGTCATTTATTTCAGAAAATAATTTCACATTCTCAGGTCAGGGACAAAATCTGAATTTAACTTTTAACTGGCTCTCTCACTAAGTCATCTGATTTTCCTTTAGACTTAATTTTAACATAATGTATAATATACAGGTGAAACTCAAAAAATTAGAATATCGTGCAAAAGTTCATTTATTTCAGTAATGCAACTTAAAAGGTGAAACTAATATATGAGATAGATTCATTACATGCCAAGCAAGAAAGTTCAAGCCATGATTTGTCATAATTGTGATGATTATGGCTTACAGCTCATGAAAACACTAAATCCACAATCTCAGAAAATTAGAGTATTGCGAAAAGGTTCAATATTCTAGGCTCAAAGTGTCCCACTCTAATCAGCTAATTAAGCCATAACACCTGCAAAGGGTTCCTGAGCTTTTAAATGGTCTCTCAGTCTGGTTCAGTAGGAATCACAATCATGGGAAAGACTGCTGACCTGACAGTTGTGCAGAAAACCATCATTGATACGCTCCATAAGGAGGGAAAGCCTCAAAAGGTAATTGCAAAAGAAGTTGGATGTTCCCAAAGTGCTGTATCAAAGCACATTAATAGAAAGTTATGTGGAAGGGAAAACTGTGGAAGAAAAAGGTGTACAAGCAGCAGGGATGACCGCAGCCTGGAGAGTATTGTCAGGAAAAGGCCATTCAAAAGTGTTGGGGACTTTCACAAGGAGTGGACTGAGGCTGGAGTCAGTGCATCAAGAGCCACCACACACAGATGGATCCCGGACATGGGCTTCAAATGTCGTATTCCTCATCAAGCCATTCCTGAACAACAAACAATGTCAGAAGTGTCTTACCTGGGCTAAAGAAAAACAGAACTGGTTTGTTGCTCAGTGGCCCAAAGTTCTCTTTTCTGATGAGAGCAACTTTTGCATCTCATTTGGAAACCAAGGACCCGGAGTCTGGAGGAAGAATGGAGAGGCACACACTGCAAGATGCTTGAAGTCCAGTGTGAAGTTTCCATAGTCTGTGTTGATTTGGGGAGCCATGTCATCTGCTGGTGTTGGTCCACTGTACTTCATTAAGTCCAAGGTCAACGCAGCCGTCTACCAGGAGATTTTAGAGCACGTCTCATTCTGCAGACAAGCTTTATGGGGATGCTGACTTCATTTTCCAGCAGGACTTGGCACCTGCCCACACTGCCAAAAGCACCAAAACCTGGTTCAATGACCATGGGATTAGTGTGCTTGATTGGCCAGCAAACTCACCAGACCTGTACCTCATAGAGAATCTATGGGGCATTGCCAAGAGAAAGATGAGAGACATGAGACCGTACAATGCAGAAGAGCTGAAGGCTGCTATTGAAGCATCCTGGTCTTCCATAACACCTCAGCAGTGCCACAGGCTGATAGCTTCCATGCCACGCTGCATTGAGGCAGTAATTGCTGCAAAAGGGGCCCAAACCAAGTACTGAGTACATATGCATGCTTATACTTTTCAGAGGTCTGATATTGTTCTATGTACAATCCTTGTTTTATTGATTGCATGTAATATTCTAATTTTATGAGAATGTGGATTTGGGCTTTTCATGAGCTGTAAGCCATAATCATCGTAATTATGACACATCGCAGCTTGAACTATCTTGCTTTGCATGTAATGAGTCTATCCCATATATTAGTTTCACCTTTTAAGTTGCATTCCTGAAATAAATGAACTTTTGCATGATATTCTAATTGTATGCTATCCTCTTCTTAATAGCAAAGATCCAATGAATTAGTCATCTATATAAAAGGAGTCCATCATAATCACTATATGTTCCCATCTGACAAGCCTAACTTTATCTTTTTTCCCCCAAAAGATTATATCTTTTGCAAAACACGCTAGAAGGATTTTTCTTTAGAAACAAGGGATCCCAAGAACTTATGTTCTTCTCTGTAAAGATTTCTAAATTTTATTATTAAAAGTATCAATCCAATTACACAGTAATTAGAGAAAGTTCAATTTATATTGAGTTTTTGAAAGGTTCCTGAAATCTCAGGGAAACATCCTTATTTACTAATAGGCCTAGGAGCTAGGGAACCCAGGGATTCATTGACATCACTCAATAAAATTAGCTGATCCAAAGATTCAATTGCATGTGGAAAGTCATCATCATGAATAGGAACATCTGAACGACTTCGAAGGATTCAGCTTAATCTGAGAAATCAATTCAATTTTCAGAATGTCACTTAATCCAGCCAACCTTGAACTTCAACTCTGAATTCAAGATTTGCACATGCCCATTTTATAAATGCCTCAGAACATTCCTATATCTGGTGCACCTTGGCAGATCTCTGAAGTTATGCATGGCAACTTCCTGTTACTGTGGTAAAAAGAAACTTCTTGTTTCATGGTAGGTTCCTGGTTAGTATAGGGATGAAGGAGTGCTTATATCTGTTGACTTAGTTAGGAAATCAAAAAGCATTCCAGAAGAAGGCAGTTACAAATTATTTCCATAACAGTGCCAATCAAATGGCAGTAGTCACCAAGAACTGAACTTAATTTGAGAGCATCCTGGTCTTTCATTTTATAAACGGTTATCTACTCTGTATAAAGCAGAATAAGGAATTTTTAAATTTCAAAATGATTTCTGGTTGTCTTCCTTCCAGAATTGTTAAAGCACAGGTAGCTGACACTGGCATGTACACATGTGTAGCCTCCAACAGAGCTGGTGTTGACAATAAACGTTACAGTCTTCAGGTTTATGGTAAGCCTTTTTAAAGCAATATAGAGTGAAATGGTAACCTCCTGGTGTATTCATAAATACAGGTGGCCCTTGCTTATTGATTACATAGTGACTGTTCAAAATTACAATTGTGCTAAAAAAGGAGACTTGTGACTGGATCTCAACCTTTTTGACCATTGCAGCAGTCCCACAGTCTCATGATTGTGATTGTGGACTACTGCAATATACACTGCTCAAAAAAATAAAGGGAACACTTAAACAACACAATATAACTCCAAGTCAATCACACTTCTGTGAAATCAAACTGTCCACTTAGGTAGCAACACTGATTGACAATCAATTTCACATGCTGTTGTGCAAATAGAATAGACAACAGGTGGAAAGCATAGGCAGTTAGCAAGACATCACCAGTAAAGGAGTGGTTCTGCAGGTGGTGACCACAGACGACTTCTCAGTTCCTATGCTTTCTGGCTGATGGTTTGGTCACTTTTGAATGCTGGAGGTGCTTTCACTCTAGTGGTAGCAGGAGACGGAGTCTACAACCCACACAAGTGGCTCAGGTAGTGCAGCTCATCCAGGATGCCACATCAATGCGAGCTGTGGCAAGAAGGTTTGCTGTGTCTGTCAGTGTAGTGTCCAGAGCATGGAGGCACTACCAGGAGACAGGCCAGTACATCAGGAGATGTGAAGGAGGCCATAGGAGGGCAACAACCCAGCATCAGGACCAGGACGGTCTGCCTTTGTGCAAGGAGGGACAGGAGGAGCACTGCCAGAGCCCTGCAAAATGACCTCCAGCGGGCCACAAATGTGCATGTGGCTGCTCAAACGGTCAGCAACAGACTCCATGAGGGTGGTACGAGGGCCCAATGTCCACAGGTGGGGGTTGTGCTTACAGCCCAACACCGTGCAGGACGTTTGGCATTTGCCAGAGAACACCAAGATTGGCAAATTCACCACTGGCGCCCGGTGCTCTTCACAGATGAAAGCAGGTTCACACTGAGCACATGTGACAGGCGTGACATGGCGTGACATGGGTATGAAGACGCCGTGGAGAATGTTCTGCTGCCTGCAACATCCTCCAGCATGACTGGTTTGGCAGTGGGTCAGTAATGGTGTGGGATGGCATTTTTTTTTAAAAATAATTTTTATTAATTTTCTTTTTTTTTTTTACATCGTAAAGCATCATGGTATCAACAACGTTCTTGGCATCTATACAAGATTTTGATTTAAATATCATATTGCATTATATTGCATTTATCTACTATTAAATAATATCTTTAGATATAATTACTATTCTTATATCCTTATATAGTTTACAAAATTTTATTTTACTTTCTTAAGGGTTGTTTCAATTAACGTTTTTGTCTTACTTCTTGGGTCTGTTTGTTAGCCATTTATACCAATTGTTCCAAATTGTAAAGAATTCAGAGTCGTCTTTTTCTTTCAATTTCATTGTTAGCATATTCATCTCAGCACTTTCTGTTACTTTGTGTATTATTAGTTCTTCATTAGGGGTATTTGGTGTTTTCTATACCTGCGCAAAGGCTATTCTGGCAGCTGTTATAATATGTAACACTAGGTATTTTACTTCTTTCGGTAGTCTTTCTTTAATGATTCCTAATAGGAAGGATTCCGGTCTGAGCTCAATCTGATAGCCAGTGATCTCTTTTAACCAATTTTTAATTTGAATCCAGTATGTCCTGGCCTCGGGGCACATCCACCACATGTGATAAAATGTACCATCAACTTTTTTGCACTTCCAACAATTAGGACTCATATTGGAGTAGATTTTTGCCAATCTTGTTGGGGCTAAATATCATCTATAAAACATTTTATATATGTTTTCTTTGTATGCGGCAGATACAGTTAATTTATAATTTATATTCCATATTTTTTCCCATTCCTCTAATTCTATAGTGTATCCAAAATTCTGTGCCCATGCAATCATTGTACTTTTAACTATTTCCTCTTCCATTTTAAAATCTAATAAATATTTATATATTTTAGTTATAAGTTTTTGTTCCAGTCCCATTAATATTTTACCTAGTTGGTTCTGCCCTTTGTCAAATCCAAAATCTTTTGAGTCTTTTTTATATTTATTTTGAATTTGGCAAATATGGTGGCAAATATGGCCACCAATTTGGTGGCAAATATGGCCACCAATCGATTATAATTCCATTTTCTTTCAGTTCTTGGTTTGATTTTAATTTCCCATGACTATCTAATAGTTCTTTGTAGCTTACCATTTTCCGTAAGTCTAATCTATTTGGATGTATTATGGATGCTTCCATGGCTGACAGCCATCGTGGGATTTCTGTATAGTGTTTACCTTTGATTTTTTTCCAAATTGTAATCAATGAATCTCTTATTAGGTGTTCATTGAAATAGGTATGTATATTACTTTTATTTTCCCACAAAAATGCATGCCAACCTATCAAGAGGTCATGTCCTTCTAATGTTAAGATTCTCTTGTCTTTTAATTTAATCCAATCCTTAATCCAACTCAACACTGCTGCCTGATAATAAAGCTCCAATTCTGGTAGTCCGAGACCGCCTCTGCTCCTATTATCTTGTAATAGTTTCATTTTAATATTTTCATTTTGTCCAACCAGACAAACTTGGATGTCATTTTATTTAGTTCTATAAAAAAAGATTTCCCTAATTTAATTGGAATCATTTGGAATAGATATATTAGTTTTGGTAAAGTATTCATTTTCAACATTGCTATTCTTCCTAATATAGACAGTTTCAATTTGGCCCATAATTCCAATTCTTTTCTGATTTGCTTAATCAGTTTGACATAATTGTCCTCTTTTAATGATGAACATCTGGGTGATATCCAAATTCCCAGGTATTTCACCTTTTTTACTATTTGGAGTCCTATTGTATTTTCTAATTCTACTTTCTGTTTTGTCGTACAGTTTTTGACTATCATCTTAGTTTTATTTTTATTTATTTTAAATCCTGCTGCTTCCCCAAATTTTTCTATTTGTTGCAACAATATTGGTCCTGAATTCATTGGATCTTCCACTATAAATACCAAATCATCAGCAAATGCCTGAACTTTATATTCCTCATTTCTAATCTTAATTCCATAAATCTCTGGGTTTTGTCTGGTTGCAGCTAGTAACACTTCTAAAGACAAGATAAAAAACAGAGGCGATAATGGACACCCTTGTCTCACTCCTTTTGCATTTTCAAAATCTTCAGTACGATCTCCATTTAATAATACACTTGCTTTTTGATTTGAGTATATTTCTTGTAGTGTTTTTTCTATATTAGTGCCAAAATTCAGCTTTTTAATTTGATATAGCATGAATTTCCAATTAAGATTGTCAAATGCTTTTTGTGCATCTAAAAAAATTAAAGCTTCCCATTTTTCTGGGTGAGCTTCATAGTATTCAGTTGAATTTAGTACTGTCCTAATATTGTTTTTAACTTGTCTATTTGGCAGGAAACCATTCTGGTCTGTGTGTATAAGTTCACTCAAGATTGGTTTCATTCTTTCTGCTAATATTGTCATAAATATCTTATAATCCGTATTTAGCAACGAGATTGGTCTAAAGTTCGCAGACCTCTCTCTGCCATTTCTCTCCTTGACTTTCACTTTCTGCCTCCTTCACTCCAAGTTCAATCCATCAATTGATGACAAAAACGCTGTTCGTGCTCTGGTATCTTCCTCATTGGGCTAAAGTGCTGAAACTTCAGTCTGCCATTGAGATGGCCAATCCCTCACACATTGGAGCAAATGAGGTCTCCCTCAAAGCTGTCAACAGCCGCCACTGTCAAACTTCTCCTCAGGCTTCCTCACACCTTCGTCTTCCCCTCCAGGGTCTACATGCCCCTCACTGGGGCCTCCAAACGCGCAGATTGGGGATGAGAGAGCAGAGCTTGCTCTTCTCTCCCCACCCTGCTGCAGTGCTGCAACTGGTGGCATTTCTTTAGGGGACCGCACAGCTCTCCATGTGCTCACCAGAGGTAGCCTGACTGCCATTAGATACCGAGATGAGATCCTCAGACCCCTTGTGAGACCATATGCTAGTGCGGTTGGCCCTGGGTTCCTCCTAATGCAAGACAATGCTAGACCTCATGTGGCTGGAGTGTGTCAGCAGTTCCTGCAAGATGAAGGCATTGATGCTATGGACTTGTCCACCCGTTCCCCAGACCTGAATCCAATTGAGCACATCTGGGACATCATGTCTCACTCCATCCACCAACGGCACATTGTACCACAGACTGTCCAGGAGTTGGGGGATGCTTTAGTCCAGGTGTGGGAGGAGATGCCTCGGGAGACCATCTGCCACCTCATCAGGAGCACGCCCAGGCGTTGTAGGGAGGTCATACAAGCACATGGAGGCCACACACACTACTGAGCCTCATTTTGACTTGTTTTAAGAACATTAAATCAAAGTTGGATCAGCCTGTAGTGTTTTTTCCACTTTAATTTTGAGTGTAAGTCCAAATCCAGACCTCCATGGGTTCTTAAATTTGATTTCCATTGATAATTTTTGTGTGATTTTGTTGTCAGCACATTCAACTATGTAATGAACAAAGTATTTAATAAGAATATTTCATTCATTCAGATCTAGGACGTCTTATTTTTGTGTTCCCTTTATTTTTTTGAGCAGTGTACTTTATATGGAGCTTCCATTGAAGAGCATCTGGAAACTGCAGCTGGTTCAAAATGCAGAGGGGTGGGGAGTTATATGCACCCAGAGCTTACTATATGTTTGGTCTACTAGATGCATTGGTTGCCACTGTGCTTCCAGATTCAATTCTAAATGCTATAAAGCCCTTCATGGCATGGGGCTGGATTCTTTGGAGGACTGCTTCTCCTTGATTGTGTCCTATCAGATCTGGCAAGAGAGGCCTGCTATGGGTCCAAAATTAAACAGTGGCAGCTTGCAGGATCCAGGAGAAAGCCTATTTTGTCTTAGCACCTGTTCTTTGGAACATCTTTGCCAGATTCTCCACAATGCAATACTTTTGAAAGACCTTGAAGACTTAGTTCTTTCATTGGACATGAGTTTAAGAAGTATAGCAGAAGTATAGCAGAGCCCATGGAATGTTTCTACTGATGGTTATGGTATTCGGGTTTGTTTTTTTTATATCTCAACTGACAATTTTATTGTGAAGTTGTTGTTACATTGTGTTTTTAACCACCTGGAGTTATAATATTGAAATATATTAATACATTTTCTGATATGAAATTAGTTTGTTGTTTCATAAACTAAAAATATTTTTTACATCCTCCATGGGTTTGCTTCCTTCCAGTACCCCCAAGCATAGACAATGGTGGAGAAACAGAACTAACTGTACTAAAAGGCAATCCCGTGTCTTTGATGTGTTTGGCTAATGGAATACCAACACCGACAATATCATGGCTGAAAGATGGTCAGACTTTAAGCAAAAACCTTCATGTGGCTTTTGAAAATCAAAAAATGGGTCTTCGTATATTAAACTCAGAGATTAATGATTCAGGTAGATATACCTGTATAGCATCTAATGAAGCTGGGGAAGATAACCAACACTTTACTCTGAAAGTGCTAGGTAAGAATTATCTATTTACAACTAATTAACGGTCAGATCATCCAGAAACTATCATAATGTTTTACTAAACCAAGAATAGGAACTGTACGACATTAGTGATTTGGTCCTGGTAAACTTTGATTTGAATCTATTGTTTGTCAGCCTGCTATATAACTAAAGCTACCATAATGACTGTTTAGAATGGTTATCGTATACTAAATTATTACCTTTTTGTTGATTGTTTAAAATGCCATCATCTGGATGCAAAAGGTAGGTAATATCTAAGGGATATTTATTTTCTGTTTACTCTCATAACTCTCTTGTAAATTGTCAGGGTGTGGTGGGGTGTTTTTTTTTTTTTTTTTTTTGAGGATGACATTATGGGTATCTTTTTGCAGAACCCCCTCATATTAATAAATCAGATAACCCAGAAGAAATTTCTACAGTGATTAACAATCCTCTTGAGCTCCTCTGTATCTCCGATGGGATTCCAATCCCGAAGCTAACGTGGATGAAGGATGGACGCCCACTGCCTCAAACAGAGTCTGTTCATGTCCTAAGGGGAGGACAGGTCTTCAGAATATCCAGTGCTCAGGTAGCTAAAAGATAGCTATTTAATTCTTTTACAGCCATTTCAACTGTTTCAACTTAGTTCAGTTTTATTTCTAACTAAGATTGGTTATCTTTTAGGTAGAAGATACTGGAAGATATACATGTTTGGCTTCTAGCCCTGCAGGAGATGATGACAAAGAATATTTAGTGAGAGTACATGGTAATATTAATTTGGATAAATATAAAGAATTGCCAAATTTTCCTATACAGGCTTTCTAACCCAAGGAAGCTCCATATGTGTGAATCTGAATTCCCAGAATTCCCTAATCAGCATGATCATTGGTAAAAATTCTATAGATCTGTGCCCAAGTTGAGGAAAGTTGTTCTATCACATATTTTTAATTATGCTGCCTTTATATATCTGTTTCATATGTAGCACACTGTAAAATAGACATGGAGAATTAAATGTTTAAGTTCACTTTCACATAGATTTTTATGCTTGGCTTTATCGCCATTTTTTTTTCAAAGTTAGGTTCATCAGATCAGATTCATTCTCATTCTCAATTCTTACCATCTCAACACGTCTTTGATAACAAGCTAGTATCTTTTTCAAAGGCATTCCAATAATCTCCTTGACCCCATCTATCCATCTTATCCACTTCCTTCCATTTCTTCTTCTTTCCTCCACATTGCACAAGCACAATATATGAGTTTCTGCTTGCTGATTATTATCTCAAGGCAGCAATCAGTCTTTACTTGATGTGGGATTGATTGAATGATTGGTTGGTTGGCTGACTGCTCTTACAGTCCAAAAAACTCCTCATAACCAAATCAAAATCCACAATCAAAAGGTTTTTGTTTTGTTTTTTTCTTAATGACAAGCTTTCACAACTATAAATTTCACAATGCTTTAACTATTGCGGTCCTCGTTGTCATTGCAATATTCTTATTCTTAAGTAACTATTTTCTCTCTATGATTAATCTCCCTGTTTCTCTAGCATACTGCCCACCTCTATCTATTCTTGGGCTCAAGAAAATACAACTATTTGCCACTTTCACTTATACAGCATCAACTGTAAGTTCACTCACTGTGTAGGCTGACATTACCTTTTCTGCTTAATATCTAATGTTACAGGATTAGATTATTGATTTATTTACAGTCCCAGATCAAGTCGTACAATGTAAACTACAGCAGACCATTAATACAGGCATATATAAAAGTACCTCCGTTTATAAAAAGAGGAAACCCTATAAAATTAACATTTATTGAAGGGACTAAACAGTTTCTACAAGTTAAAGCTCTTAAAAAATGTTGTTACTGCTTTGAAACTCCTGAATATTGTCACATCTCACTTTTCTCATCATGAATGGAGTATATCAGACTGAAGTAGGAGTGTATGAGTTCTGATCTCCAGTGTGAGTACAGTGGGCACTTTCAAAGGATGTGTGAAACAAACTCAACCTCTATATTTAAACAAATACATATTTCATCTTCATATGGGAGATTAGCATATTGATCAGATATCACCCTAGCAGGGGCAGTATCTATGCATGCTACTAGGGGGAGATCTATACATGTTAGAGAGAAGCACCTTCTATGTGGAACATACAAAATCCTATATAATAATTGGGTATCCAGGAGGACAGAACAACTTTTGTATGAGAGATGTGGAAGTTCAGGTCTTCCTAAATATCTAAGTCCCAAACCTTCTTCTTAGGTTCAGCCATGATTCCCCGCCTCCAGATTTAAAACAAGTAGGACTGGTATTGATGGTCCACACCGTCTCAGATCTTGGTCTATTCAGCAGCTTCCAGTTGGTTGAAACCCAGGGACCATTTCTCAGGGGGTACTTCTGGCCCATGCACTGCAACTCCTGTTCATGTTAGGAAGCTGCTGGCCCTTTGCAAGGTTTTGCAGAAGGACATCTTGTAAACGGAGGTTTTGTGGGTCGACTTGGCCAGCCTGGACTCACCTCCACACCTCACTGAAGTTCTGAATATTACTAGACATATGTCAAAATAATTGGACTTGATTCATAGATTTCAGAACTATCTGCCATTCCTTTCACATTGTCCATGAAGATTAAGATATCTTGGACAGCATGGAAGTGGGACATAAGGAAACTAAAGAGAGCTTCCCAATGGTTTCATTCCTCACTGAAAATGAATGTGTGCAGAGACAAACTTATATCCAGCCTCATGCTTCTGTACATGTATGCGTGCATGTGTGCATTTTTGATTCAGCAGTACATTGTTCCTTGTATTAAAGTACACCTGTTTTTTATTATAAATTGATGGATATATGGCATTTGCTAGTTCATGATCACAGAGTGACATTTTGTCATTGGTTATACAAGAAAGACTTATATAGAACATACACTCTTGAACTTGTAAAAATTAGAAAACTAATGGAGTAGCAATCAGCTTTTGAGACTGGAAGACACTGTCAGGAAGAGCTTTACCTGTTTGTGAAAGCTGCTGTGTTAATCTGTTTCAGTAATGGCAGCAAAATCAAAATGTAGATTAATAGTAAGTAGTGTATAACTAGCTATTTCCAAATCCAAATTTTCCAATAATTTTCTTGTTTATATTTGACTAATATCTGTGCTAACAAGTTAATCAATAACAAAGAATTGGTTTCTCAAGTCTCAGACATCAGTCAGATCGCTGGCAGCATATGATCCTGCTCTGAAAATTGAGCTTGATATCAGAAAATTTTAAGATATACAGATATTTACAGACTAGAATAGACTAATTTGAGGACTACAGGATTAGATGTATTGGATATCATATATCATAATTTATTGATGTACTTTCCAGATTTAAAGCTTTCAAAGATGTAGAATGTATGGTTCAAGATAAAATATATATTTTTCAGCATTAGTTCACCTAAAGCTTTCAAGACTATAATTGAAGAACTATGAAAAAAATGAATACATGTTGCATGGGAGTTTCATAGAAAGCTTATTTTGTTTCAACCACAAGGAAGAGAAACAATTTTTATACCATTTTTAACATTTCTAAAGAGCATTGTATGAAGGACTAATAGAAACAACCTTTGTTGCTTAAATAATTTATGTATCTCTAGAAGAGGACATTACATGTAAAGCAATTTTTTGAACTTGGGAATTATATGATTGTTATAAAATAAATGTTTAATATTGTATTAATTTAATGTAGCACTGTAAACAAGACAGAAACAGAACTAATATGGCAATAGTGAATAATGTAGAATAATTTCAGTAAAAGTTGGGGGGTAGATAATCCAATAAAAGTAACTAAAACCAGTAAGCATTATAAATACTTTTTAATCAATCTTTTTCGTATGTTACAGGAAATTTATAAATCAGAAAATATTAAGCACAAATATTTTGGAAGACAGTTTTCTGACAAAGGGAATAGTAATTCAAGAGAGGTAGCTATCTTAAAGTTAATAAGGATTATATGGTAGAAAATATTTAAAAATATAGGGATGATTAATTTTTACTAAAGGGAGTAATCACCATAGTGCTGGCTTCAGCATACAGTATGCAGCAAATAAGAATCAAACTGATTGGTTTCGGATAATTTATCTCTCTAAGATGTGTGGACTTCATTCCCAGAAATCATCTATGTTTTAATGACTGCCTAAGAAATGTAATTTGTTTTGAGACTGACAAATGGTTATGTCCAGAGCTAATCAAATTATGTCAGTGCCCCTCTATGTAAGGGAAAATGTTTGCATTTATTATGCTATTTGTATTTTCCTTTGGCAGTTCCCCCAAATATTGCTGGCACAAGCAATTCTCAAAATTTTAGTGTGCTACAGAACCAGCAGGTTATACTGGAGTGCAAATCAGATGCAGTCCCTCCTCCTGTGCTTACATGGCTCAAAGATGGAGAAATTTTGGAGGTATATTCTCTACGTCTTTTGTCTGTGATTTATCTTAATTGGTGAAGTAGACTTCGTTTAGGTACTCAAATTGCACATAGAGTGGAAGATTTAGCTTGTAAGGCACATGTGACATGTTTCCATAAGAGTGTACACACAGCTAGCGCAATGTTTGTAGGCTGGAGCCACTTGACCCCTTAGTATGTATTCTTTAGCATTGCACCTGTGCATAAGTTTATAATGTGCTCTTTGCAGGCATATTGAAATAGTTTAATGGAGGATCCATTCTTTTCTGGGAAATATGCTCACCTATCAAGGGAAAAAATAGTATAATACAGCAAAAGAACATGGTGGGAAATTCACATGAATATTGAATGGGTATTTGTACCTTGACAGCCATTTTATGCATAGGTTCTCAACACTAATTGCAGCCATTTGTGGTGGTGCTGATGGCATACTGTCAACATTCAACACTCATCCAACAACAATTTTAGAATAAAATAATATAGAAAAATAATAATTAATAATTAATTAATCAATTAATTAATTTAAAAGAAAACAACAAATAAAATCAAAGGGCAAATTCGATGGGCTACTAGATTTTTTTCTGTGATCAGGTTTCTATGTTTCTAACATTCAACTCATTGAATTCAGGTTTACTATCCTTCCATTAAGATGCTGAAGTACGACTAGAAGAACCCAGGTTCAAATCCTCTCTTAGTTGTGTAAACTCAGTACTGTATATACTCTGTATACTGGGTATAAAGTATAAAATAGAGATTGCTTTGAAAGTAATCTTGAGCTTTTAGAAGAAACATGGATTATAAATTAAGCAAACCAACAAACAAATAAGCAGTAATCTTTACCAATATTGTCTCCCATTTCTAAACACTATTGCTCTCTAGTGTAAATAAAATAAAATATTTTTGTCTGTTATTGAAAAGAGATTCAGTTTTAAAAATCTTATTCTCAGGCCACGCCCCGAGTTCGCATTTTATCCAGTGGAAGATATTTGCAAATCAACAACGCAGACTTAAACGATGCAGCAAGCTACACCTGTGTTGCAAGTAATGTTGCAGGCCGAACCACAAGAAAGTTTGTGTTGGCTGTCAATGGTAAGAAAAGAAGATAAATCTATATAATCTTTGTGGGATATTTCCACGAGTGAGTGTTCAAAATATTAGACTTCTCAAAGAAACAAGTTTTGTGGTCTTTCATCTGTTTATTTCTTGGTGGAAGAAAGTTCCCTAAGTTTTTTTTTCTATTTTGATTAAAAATGCATTATTTTAATTTTGATAGTTAAAGCAGTTTTTATAAATTTTAAAGATATGCTTGCTGTTCAAAAAGGATGTTCTCCAATTTTCATTTTTAAATTTTACATAGCGGTGTGTCCTTTGGTAAGAGAACACTTAGAAAAATTTAAAATAATATAGATTTGTGTTTTTTTATCCAATACAGGCTTATCTAGAAATCAGCCTTATTGAATAAAAAACTGATTTAAAATTAGCACAGTAAAAATGTAATTATACATTTTCAGTAGGTTGTTCACAAGAAAGCTAAATAGGAATTTACATTATATGACATGCATTTTTGTTTTAAATAAAACAAACACAGAAATATTTGTCATTGCTGTACCTGCATTGCAAATATTTACCACTGGCAACAAGAATTATGGTTTCTGTATTGCTCTAGTGCATTTAGTGGTTCTCCAGCTTTTTACAGCCTAAAGGTCAATTTTATACAGTTAAAATCTAGGGACCATATTTTGGGATGAAACAAAATCTCACTTCAAGTGGAAGGCAAGAGTTCATTCAATTTTAAATTAATTTCCTGATTTTTTTCCTGATCCTAATTTTGTCTGGGAATCTTCTTTTGTATAGTTCCTCCTTCAATCAAAAATGGTTCTCAGACTATGATTGTGAATATTAATATGTCTGCTGTCTTGGAGTGTGTTGTGGAAGGTGTTCCAGCCCCAAGACTTTCATGGAGAAAAGATGGAGTCCTTTTAGCTGGAAACAATGTCAGGTAAACACTGATTTCCTGAATAGTCATTCTGTGGTACCAGTGGGGGGGATTCAATTGTTTTTACTACTGGTTCTGTGGGCGTGGCTTGGTGGGCATGGCAGGAGAAGGATACTGTAAAATCTCCAGTCAGAAGTGGTATTTGCCAGTTCTTCAAACTACTCTAAATTTCTGCTACCAGTTCTCCAGAACTGGTCAGAACCTGCAGAATACCACCTCTGTGTGGTACCTTCTCTATATTTTTCTTAATATATATATTATGTTGGGAAAATTGATCTCATTGACTGAACTTGCTATGTTCAAGTGGATAGAACGGAGTTTTAAAACATATCTGATATCAAATTGGATTTGATGGATTTTACTCTACAGCCTGGCAAGTGTGTCTATTAATGACTATAAATTTGTCCATGTACAGGTACCTTAGCAAGAATATAGAGATAATTGATTTAGATCTGACTATTAGCTTCTTTTTCTAAAATCCCACAAAGTGACTTAGATATTCTGCTTGCTTTGACCAGCAAATAAGACATTTCTGTGGATTCACAATATTGCCAACTCACATCTAAGCACAACTTTGTAGAGATGGCTGCACATAAAAAAACTATCCCTGTCATTATATTTATACATTCAAAATTCTGTAGATTAAGTTTTGGGTTAGTGTAAAAGCAGAGTCTTGTTGTGAACCAGAGAATCAACCACAAATATATGTTTTCTGCTTCTTTCATTTACATGTTTTTACTATTAATTTTTTAATGGAGTCTCTAATAAAACACAGGACAGAGGAAAAATGGTTGTGTGAATAAGAAAAAAAATATTTGTGTATGCACTGAGAATGTGTTAAATTCCTTGTGTTTTACTTTAGATATTCCCTATTAGGAAATGGATCCCTTCATATACATTCAACCCAAGTTACTGACACTGGGAGATACCTTTGTATGGCAACCAATGTGGCTGGCACTGAGCGTAAGCGAATTGATCTTCAGGTCCACGGTAAATATGCTTTTTTTCAGACAAAAAAGTACCACCGGAGAAATTGAATAGGCTTAAACTAAGAATGCTAGACAGGACCCATATAATCCTATTTTCTCTTCCATGCTGGACCATAATGCAGTAATCACTACTTACTGAAAGGATAAGAAAACCTCCTCCCCATGCCATTCCTCTCTTAGTTTTGGTTTTTATCTATTTTTTAAAAAAAGTTAATCTGTTTTAATATTTAATTAAATATCGATTAATTAATATTTAAATATTGAATTAATATTGAATTAAATATTTAATTATTAAAACTAATATTTAATTAGTCTTTATATTTTAATATATTTTAATTATTTTTCTATTTGTTTTATAACCTATAAGCCATCCAGAGTCACCTTTTGGGGAGTTGGGCGGCATAAAATTTAAATAAGTAAACAAAGAAACACATACATAAAATATCCTCTTTTGTCTAGTTAGTTAATTAATTGGACATTAGTAAGGGTTGGATTAGAATCCGTGGTGGGATTCAAATAATTTAACAACCGGGTCTCTGCCCTAATGATTTCTTCCAACAACCAGTTCACCAAACTGCTCAGAGAGTTAACAACTGATTCTCCCAAAGTGGCGCGAACTGGCTGAATCCCACCACTGATTAGAATGGGTGATGTCTATATGAAACCCCCACTGTCCCTGAAGATACATGAACTTACGCTGGATCACTAAGGAGTGAGTTGGGGGAGTTTTATTTGATCTATATCTGCTATGATAAACTGTGCTCTATTTTCCATCCCTTGTTTGCTAAAGACCAATGGTCTTCTTCCCCCTCCCCCTAGTTCCTCCATATGTTGCTCCAGGACCTGTCAATGTCACAGTACCTGTAAATATACAAACCACACTAGCCTGTGAAACTACAGGGATTCCTAAGCCAGCCATAACCTGGAAGAAGAATGGGCATGTTCTCAATTTGGATCAGAACTCATTCAGGTAAAAAAAAGGGGGGTTTTATTTGTTTGTATGAATACAGAGCACTGATTGCATGTTGTGCTTTGAAAAGAATAAAAACCTACTCTTCCATCCCATAAATTGGGGGGACGGACCTATTTTTCAGAGACACAGAGGGCAAATCTGTACTTTTTATTTGGTTCACTCAGTAGGGGCTTCTTCTTAGCCACTTTGAAAAATACTCTCCTTGTTGTTCATCACATCCATAGTATTGCAATATGTGTCTGTCTGTCTGTCTGTCTGTCTGTCTATCTATCTATCTATCTATCTATCTATCTATCTATCTATCTATCATCTATCTATCTATCTATCTATCTATCTATCTATCTATCTATCTATCTATCTATCTATCATCTATCTCACTATAAATCTTTCTTTCTTTCTTTCTTTCTTTCTTTCTTTCTTTCTTTCTTTCTTTCTTTCTTTCTTTCTTTCTTTCTTTCTTTCTTTCTTTCTTTCTTTCTTTCTTTCTTTCCTGAATTATCAATTTTTCCTGGCTGCAAAATTCCCATGGAGACTAGAGAACTATTCCTTTTTTATTTGATTATGGCAGCATCAGAACTATAATGGTTGTCCTAAGGGGAAAAAGAGGCAGAATTGCCTATTGTCTTAATTTTTGGAGAATGGAGACTTATGGTTTCCACAGATTTTATGTAGGAATTAAATTACCTGTCACTTAGGTCATGCAATTGCAATGAACGTTTCATAAATATTACTTTGCTACCATAGGCCTGTCTAAGATTTTAGCAATATTCTCATTAACTGTCTTGTTAAACAGCCAACAGTCTTACTCCTTTAAAAAAAGGATTATGAATGTGTGTGTTAACATCTCTCCCCTTGGATGCCAAAATCAAATACTATAAATTAACAGATCCTGCTTCTGTTTCCCTGTTTGAATCCCAAACAAGCAGGTCTTGTCTGGATAAATTGATGTAGTTGAGAAGAGTATGGAATCTTCTTTTCTTCTTTATTAGAAGAACAAAACTCTCATTAATTATGTATTCTGAAGAGACTCTCTGGAAGTCAAATATCCAAACCTATCATCTCAATTTGATTCACATACACAAAAATAAATTAGTGGGAATCTTTGTTTCCCTCAAGCAAAAAAATCTATAAGAAGATAATGCCTGAAAACTATGTTTCTACTGCTCTTTTGTTAATCTCAATATCTGAATTATATCTCCTGGGACAAACACTGTGGTGAACTGTAATAATTATTTTTGTGCTTTCTTCCAGGCTTTTGTCTTCAGGTTCACTAGTAATCCTTTCTCCTACTGTAGAAGACACTGCACTCTATGAGTGTGTAGTAACCAATGAAGCAGGCAAAGATCAAAGGACCATTAGCCTCATGGTAGAAGGTATAATACTAATGTTGGAAAATGTTCTTGTAAAATTTAAAGCTGATCTACCAGGAAGTTTCAGTAGGAGAACTTTATTTTAATGAAGAAAATCAGATTTTAAAAAATAAAAAATATGGAAAGCTGAATGGATTGCTAAATGGAAAGCTGTCGATGCTGGACTCTGGGATTTGTGAATCCATTCTGTTGCAAATCTTTTCTTTTACAAAAATCCATCCAATCAATATAATTCCATTATGAACATTGTATTGTATTGTATTGTAGATCTTTATATTATTTTAATATTGGCTTTGTTCATATCACATATTTTAGTCACTAATTAATGCATTCCATAAAATGTTATTAATCATTTTGCATTTTTTTTTAAAAAAACAAGGAGATCCGTATGTTTTTCTTAAACTATAAATTTATTCAAACACAAATATGTTAGTATTGTAATATGGTATATTCTTTAGTGTTCTGGCAATTGTAGGTCATTCGAGGAGACATCATCACAATACAGATGATTAATATTGACATTTGTCTTTATTTACTTTAGTGCCACCATCCATAGCAGATGAAGTTACAGATCTATTAGTAACCAAGTCATCCCCCATAATAATCCCCTGCACAGCATCAGGGGTTCCAGTGCCTTCAATCCTTTGGACCAAGAATGGAATGAAGCTTCCTTCTCGAGGAAATGGCTTCAGAATTCTGTCTTCAGGTTGTGCATGCCATGAAAACAGTATATAGCAGAACAGAGATATGTTGAGATGGTGGAGGTGTTGCAGTGGGGAAAAAAATGTCAAAGAAAGTGGAGAATTATAGCTTTGCAACTCTTCCTGCTGCATAAAATAGGATGTTTTGTCAGAAACAGATTACACTCAAGTTCTGCTGCAATAGCTAAACTCTTGATATATTCCTTCAATCATTGCCAGTCTATGATGATCCTCATCTTGGAATTATGATAACTTATGCTGTCCAATTTAGATGTGATATAGTATAAAATCTTTCAATTTAGATGTAATGCAGAATAGAGAAGATTAAAAAACATCAATCTTCTAGTTCAGGCTCTAAGCACTGATTGAGAAAGCTTACACTGGTTTTATTTTTCCTGGAATTGTATTGGAACTGCCTGAGAATTGCCAATGGTCACTAATCACTGTTTAATGTAATCAATGGAAGTTTCTCATTTCTTCTTTTTAGGTGCTATTGATATAAGTGCTGCTCAATTAGACCATGCAGGAAAATATGCTTGCACTGCATGGAATGCTGCTGGATCTGCCTATAAACATATCACCCTTCATGTTCAGGGTGAGGTGGGAACTTGTATGTTTCTTATCTTCTTTGTAGATTTCCCCCCACACACAACTATAAATCTAATAACTTTCAACACATTCAGAACAGAAAATTGAATGACCCTAGCAGATCTGTATTACCAAACTGCATGGGTATTCTTTATTCCTTCCATGTAAATCCCAACAAGATTTATAAATAAACATATCAAAGACATAATTCTTAATTAAACCTGTCCCCTGATTTCCAGCTTTCTATATTGCAGAGGAAAATTCTTCCACCTAAAATCCTGTGATTAAATGTTTCAGATTTGCTCTTAGTTTATAATTTTAATTTACTATTAAATCCTTGAAATCTTGAAAATAAAAAAAAGTTTTATGTTGCTAGTTGTGGGATGTTGGGTAGTTAAGTTCTGCAATTTATAATTTCATGGTTTTAGTCTGGTAGAAGCACTCAGAAAAAAATTATACCCTGAACATGATTTATATAGAGGAAGCAATAAAGAGTTTTTAGATCATTAACTATCTCTTTTTTGTGTGCTCCTGTTAGAACCACCAACCATACGAGTGCAAACGGGAGCATTAGATGTTATTCTGAACAACCCAGTTCTCCTGCCCTGTGAAGCATTCGGCACACCTCATCCTGTACTATCATGGCAGAAGGAAGGGGTCAGTGTTATTACAACAGGTATTTTGTTTTTATCATAATTTTCAATTCCCTTCAGAGCAATGAGCAACATGTAATTGAAAGGGAATCTGTATTACATTCTGTATTCTACAACATGGGATAGGTAACTTTGATGAGCCAGAGGCATTTCTGTAAATTATGGACATGTTTTGAGTTCCTTCACTATCTGGCTGCCATAGTAGACAATGCATCAGTTTACCAGAATGTTCTCTATTAATCTTTCCAAGGATATTGATGTGCAGTTTAAACTCTTCCCTATTTTTGGTCTTTTTAAAAAGAAAATATGAAAATTGTCAATATGTCTTCTTATTCAAACTTTATTTCGTTTTCTGATTCCTCGTATATCTTGTTTAGGATTTAACTTGCTCCTTCTTTCTGACTTTTCTAAAACACCCTATATTTATTTTAGGAAATAGGCATACAATGCTTCCCAATGGCAGCCTTCAGATTTCTAAAGCTGCTGTTGAAGATGCTGGAACTTACATGTGTGTTGCTCAGAATCCAGCAGGCACTGCTCTTGGGAAGATCAAATTAAAAGTTCAAGGTAAGTTTTATACCTAGCCCACAACTTCGTTATTTGATGCCACTCTAGAAAACACTAGACACGATGTGAAAGTGCTTTTCACTGAACCTTGGTTAGAAACTGTTCCAAAGAGATGTATCATTTTAGAAGCTAATGAAGGAAAGGGGGAAAATGTATGGCTGAGCTCATCATACTGGGAAATAAACAATTATCACATAGAATAGGCTACCAATCCAATATTGACTCTCAGATGGATACCAGGCCAAGGAAATCTTTAAAAGTGGAATCTTTTGGTCTACAGGATGTCTAATTCATTCCTTGAAAACATCAGATATTTAAAATGGTTTGCCAGGAATAAAATGATATTCAAATAGGTCAATAATGAGGGGAAATGTATACATAAAAGTGCATGCAGTATATATACTTGTGTATATGTAAAGTTATTTAGGGTGGGGTCTTTTTTTGCCAAAAATTCAATTGAGCAATGACTTTTCAGTCCTTCCAGTTATCAAAGCACATCCCACAGAATATGTGGTTGTTGTGGATAATCCTGTCACCCTGTTGTGTGAAGCCGAAGGCTACCCGTTTCCTGTGATTGCCTGGCAAAAAAATGGACAGATAATCACAGAGTCCATGCGGCGAAGGGTTCTCAGCACAGGAGGTTTGCATATTGCCTTTGTTCAGCCTACAGATACTGGACATTATATTTGCAATGCTACTAATGTGGCTGGATCCAGCAGTTCCAGTATAGAACTCACTGTCCTTGGTAAGTAAAATTAAAACCTGGGAAACTTGAATTTATTTTTTCAACCTTGAGGAAGCCAAAATACTGGCCAGCTTTTAATTTTTCATTCCACAGGTAAACATATAATTAGCAGTTTAATGAACAGGCTATTGCAGAGTATTAAACTTACCCTGAAAATAATGAGTGGAACTCTAATGTGATCTGTATTGAACCAAATCACCCTAAAAAAAAATCTTCAAAAAAAGAGGATAGGATCAGTTAGAGCTGGCTGAACCTTTAACATATTTTGTGCTTACATAGCTAGAAAGGAAAGATCAAAATATTCTTGCCTTTAAACCACCAGCAACAATGAGCAATGGCAGTAATCCACGCCACTGATGTCTGATGAACCTGCAGTGACAATCATGTGAAATATGAAGATGTTCAATTAGAATTCAATGATTTAACCAGTGGCACAGTATGCTCACGGGTACACAATGTAGCCCAGCATCCACTGTGGACCATTCTGTAAGTCATAGAGCTGCAAAATTGCAGATCTGAGGTGTAGGCCTACTAGAAGGAAACCCAAAGTGGAGACATGGGAGAAGCAACAAAGAGAGGAATGGATCCTGCTCAATTTTTCCACCTGGAGATTAAAAAATAAATAAAACCAATGTTCACCTTAGAGCAGCTTCATTCTAGACATTATACCTAATCTTATGTCAGTAGGATAGAAAATACACAATTATGTATTAGTTGATTTCCTGCACTGAATCCAGATCTCAGTCTAATTCTGAAAAGGATGAGAAAGAGACTGCTACCTAAGGATCCTACATCAATAAAAACATGCAATGCTTAGACCAAAAGTTTGAATATTTATACAAATCAATTAGTCCTTAGATTCCATCAATCTCCTTACAAGAGCCAAGATGCTTTATTTTATGGGTTGCTAGGCCTGCTTTGTTGGCTAACATCCCATCCCATCTTGATCATCTGCACGTTTCTCCCCATTCCCCTAAAAAA